CAAACAAAATCTTCATCATTTGCAGTGGTAACATTCTTTACATGAAAAACCCAAAAGGAGCTAAAGAAAAAAATTTTTAAATAATCTATTTTAGTGGCCGGCATTGTGGCGTAGCAGGTAAAAATCCCATATGGGTGCCGGTTCATGTCCCAGCTACTCTGCTTCCCATTCAGGCCCTTGCTAATGGCCCGAGAAGAGCAGTGGAAAATGGTCCAAGTGATTAAGTTCCTGCTAGTTAGATTGGAAACCTGGAAGAAGCGCCTGGCTCTTGGCTTCAGCCTGGCTCAATCCCAGCTGTTGTGGCCATCAGGGGAGTGAATGAGTGGATGGAAGATATCTCTCCCTCTGTCTCTGAAACTCTGACTTTCAAATAAATAAATAAATATTTGTAAAAATAATAAAATATTGTAGTATTAATTTGCTATAGGTTATTGTAGATTAATTATGATATAGATATTATGATATAGATATAGATATTAATTATTATATAGTAATTAAAGAATATGATGAGATGAAATCATTTAATTGCAACCATAAAGTAAAAGATACCTAGGAGTAAATTCTATTAAAGAATGTATGAGATCCTTACAGAAAATCATAAAATGTTATTTAAAAATCTTAAAGAAGCTTAATTAAATTGATAGTTATTTTGTGCTCATGGATAACAAGATTCAATATTATAAAGACATTAATTTATCCCAAATTGACCCATAGGTCCAATGTAATTCTAATCTAAATCTAAAAGCAGGTGTGTATGTGTGTGTATGAGAGAGAGAGAGAGATGCCAAGTTGTCTCTAAAATAAAAGAGAGAACAAAGAGCAAGAACAGTTAAGATACTCCTAAAGGAAAAGAATTAGGTCAATGAGGTAGGAGCACTTGCCTTAGTAGATATTAAGGCTTATGTATAGGTATAACACTTAAGATTGCATGGATTTGCTCATACACACGACCTCTGTAACAAAAGTCAGATCTCAGAGACAGTCCCAGGCACACAGGAACTTTGCTGTAAGCTGGAGTCACACTGCAGGCCTTGGACAAGGATGCTGGCACAACTGGGAATCCGTGTGGGGAAAAGTGGATTCATACCTTGCACAAAGAAAATGAATCCAGACAAGCTGAGGACTTGGTGTGCAGACCAAAACTTTACAGCTCTAGAAGACATAGTGGAACTGACCTCTGATGTGGAGCTACAGACATGTTTCTTAAGCGAGATGCAAAGAGCCCTAAGATGAACACATCTGACTTCATTAGAATTAAGACCTTGGGACGGGGATCTGGCATAGCAGCTAATCCACTGCTTAGGCTGCTCGCATCGTATAACAGATTGCCCGGGAGTCCTGGCTGTGCTGATTCCAACTTCCTGCTGACGCACACCCTGGGAGGCAGCTCAAGTCTCTGGGTCCCTGCTGCCCACGTGGGGACCTGAACTGAGTTCCAGGCTCCTGGTTCCAGCCTGACCCACCCCTGGCTATGGTGGATAGTCGGGGAGTAAATCAGCTAATGGGAGGTCTCTGTCTGTCTGTGTATCTCTGTCTCTCTCTGCCTTTCAAACAAATAGATAAATATTAAAAAAGTAAGACCACTTTATTCAAAACATCCACAAAGAAACTGGATCAGAAGTGTATAAAAAGCATATATTATATAAAAGTGGGCAGAAGATATTCACAGTACATATTGTGATCAATATTCAGGATGTATTAAGAATTCCTACACATCAATAAGAAAAAGCAACCCCATAGGGAGAAGGCCAAATGATACAAATACTAATTAGTATAGACAAGAAACTGCTGAGAAAATACAACCAACGTTATTAGTGATCAGGGAAAAGCAAATTGGCTATGGGATATCATTTCATACCCATCTGGCAGAAAATTAAGGCTGACAGAAGCAAGAAATGAATCAAAGAAACCCACATGCATTGCTGGCGTGCCTGTAAACTGGAACAACTGGCTTAAAAAACAATTTAGCAGGATCTCGTAAAGTTAGGCACAGCCTAATATTCTCTGACCTAGATATGCAACCCAGAGAAACTCTTGCAGTACTCTTGATGTACTCACAGCTTAGAAATACACCCATGTGGATAACCCTATGGAACAGCAAGGGACTGAGAGACACATTCCCTCCCTGGGAGCAGGAGGAGAGACAGGGAGAGAGGGAGGGTGGGGGAGACAGAGAGGGAGAAAGAGAGAATGGAATTTGTAGGCACCTATAAGACAATGGTAATGGTTTCTAGCACCATCACTGTGTGGTAAGTTCAGTGACACAGAAAAAATTAAATGTTCTTTTAGGGGCCAGCGCTGTGTTGTAGCGGGTAAAGCCGCCGGCTGCAGTGCCGGCATCACGGGTTTGAGTCCCAGCTGCTCCACTTTCAATTCAGCTCTCTGCTATGGCCTGGGAAAGCAGTACAAGATGGCCCAAGTCCTTGGGCCCCTGCACCCTTGTGGGAGACCCAGAAGAAGCTCCTGTGTCCTGGCTTCAGATCAGTGTAGCTCTGGCTGTTGCGGCCAGTTGGGGAGTGAACCAGCGGATGGAAGACCTCTCTCTCCCTCTCTCTCTCTCTCTCTCTCCTTCTCTCTCTCTCTCTCTGTCTCTCCTTCTCTCTCTGTGTAACTCTGACTTTCAAATAAATAAATCTTTTTTAAAAAATGTTGTTTTAAGGTCAAATAACAAAAGTCTAAAATTTCTGTCAGATTAAAATGTGGATTCACAGACATGGCTATATGTGAAAAAAAGTGTTCATTATTTGCCAGGGAACAGTGACTATCGAAACACATTTCCTTTTGATTAAAAAAAAAGTTGAAAAACTCTTGCACACAAGCTCTTCTATTAGGAGTTTAAAATATGGTATACATGACATTCCATATTAAACATTTTTAGGAAGTTAAAAACATTCTATGGATAATCTATTTGACTAAGTACTTGTAAATCCAAATCAGATCTCTGAAAATAAAATAAAATAAAACTTCCAAATGATAGAGCAAAAGCATTTTTTGTTGTTATTTTCAAATAAGCACAATGACCTCTATGGTAAATTACAGATTTTTTTTTTTTCCATAATGAGAACATTGTAGTGATTCCCTCAAAATTCTTGATGAGTATTATTATTAATTTTTCAGTAAGCCAAGAAGATATCTAAGGCTAAAAACCAAAGTCAGAGATTCACAGTGCACATCACACCTTGGCTGGGAGCTTGCAGTGAGCATCAACATTAATTTACTCTTTCTCTGTGTCACTCTGCCTATCAAACAAACAAACAAATAAATTTATCTTAAAACAGAGCAAAGCTATTTTTTGAAACTACAGCAGAATATGATGAAGAACTCTCTTCCAGAAGGAAAAGCCACCAAGTGGACTAGACATCTGTCCATCACCGTTTCCCGGGGTGAAACACTCAGCTTCCCAGAAGACGTGTTTGCTCTCTGGCTGAAGCATGGCGGGCACGCCCATGAGCACCCCGGGCAGTCACTAGTGAGAAGTTCTCTCCATGATCTGGAATCCACGCTCAACGTGCACACCCAGAGCTGTCTGAGTGGGCGTCCAGGCGTCGCTGCGGTTTCCCTCGCATTTTCTAACTCAGTGAAAACAGGCAGCAAGGCTGGGGAGTGATGGGTTGAGAAACCACACACGTTTCGTGCTGTCCATCACGCTTGGGGCTCTAGAGCCCTGGATAACAGGTTGCACATGCATTTCCTCTCAAAGGTGCAAAACTATTCTTGTTGCTGTTATTGCTAACCTCAAAGAAGGGAATCAATATTTTACAAACTGTGGGGAATATTGTTTATTCCTATGTGAAGTCGGTGGTGTGTGGTAAGCAAGCACAGAGACTGAAAATGCAAACCCGCTCTGCGTAGCTCCCTGTAGAGTCTCCGCCTCCCTCCTTGTGGGCTGTGTTGGATCACTTCTGTGAGGAGACAGAACCCTTTGCACAGCCTGCCTGGGGTTGCTTCACACGGGGGAATTTCAGGACGAGTCTGGAGGGAGTTGGGGTCTTGTGAGCTAACCTTGGCATCACCGCTCTTTAAGAGCAGCCCCTAGCGTTGCCCCAGTGGTCACCCGGGTCTCCATTCTCCATCAGGTGGCAGCATGTGGCCCAGGCTAAGAAAGGCAGACTTGGAGACCCCCCTGTGACTGTGAGGATCTGCTTGGACCCCGTCCCTGCCACTTTCTGGGTGCGTGACTCTAGGCAAGTGCCTTCCCCACTTGGAACCCCCTTCTCATCTGGAAAAAGGGCCTGCGGGGTGGTTGTGGATCATGAATGAGAAGATGGACATGAAAGCTCCCTGAGACCTGCAACGTGGAACATAACAGAAGGTTCCGCTCCCACTTCTGCCACCGCCCACAGTGGTTCCCGTTCTGTCCTCCCAGCAGCAGCCCGCCCCTGCCTGGGACAATCGGGAGACGTGGAGGGCCTCGGAAGCACCATGTGGGGAAGGAGACGGCGGCCCTTTTCTGGCCTGCCCTTCATCCACTCGTCCAGTACATGCTTCTGCAGCTCCTGGGCCAGCAGCCTGTGAGTCCTCTGTGACTCCACGGACGTACCTCCTACCATGATGATGTCCACCCTTTTTCTGGAGTCCTGGCATCTGGCCTCCGGTCTGGGCCTTGGACTCCCAAGCCAAGAGGTTCAATAAAACTGGGCTGAGTCTCAAAGTAACCACACTGGGAGTGTAATCGGCTGGCGGTGAGCAGAAAGCCCAAGCCCACGCTAACTGCGGGCTTCCAGAGTCAAGTCTGAGGAACTTGTGTAGACACAGGGCGGATGCTGGGTGGGTGGAGACTGACCGTGACCGCGACGAGAGAGGACTCTGTGATCTGGCGAAAGGGAGCTCATCTCAGCCAGACCTGGGGAGGGCTGCCAAGCTTAGGTAGCAAGCAGGCTTTTCATCCTGACTCCTCCTAAGTCCCCATGTCCAGATGTTTGCGTGGAGATGCCATGGCAACCACGATGCCACAATGGAACATTCTTCTCAAGGCGGCAGAAGCATTCCCTCTGTTGAGCTCTGCTGTGTAAGGCCCACGTAAGGTCGTTTCTCCTTTAGTAGAAGTTCATGGAAGAACTGTGAGGACCACCCTGGGGACGAGAAACATCCAGTGTCATGAACGGAGCACGGTGACTTGAAACGAGAGTTCCTTAGGCCAGGGTGCTTTTGGAGAGAATGGTGTCAGCCTGGTGGTACGGCGGGTGGGGAAGCGCCTGGGGGTTTTGGATTCAGGCAGACCTGAGCTCCAATGCCAGCTGCTCAACTTGGTAGCTGTGTGACCCTGCGCTGGCTCCTCCATGCCTCTGAGAGTCAGTTTCTGATCTATAAAATGGGGATAATGGGAGCGGGCTACCTCCCAGCATGGCTGTGTAGACGAACTGAGCTAAATGCTGGGGCTGTTAGTAGCGCAAAGAAAGCCCAGCAGCATTTAGGCCGTCAGTTTAACAGGTGGGGTAAAACATTAAGACATTAAGCCCAGGGTAGACTTCCATTTAAGCTCTGCCTTTCCTCTCAACAGCAGTTTATGGCCACAGAATTAAGGCAAGGGTTGAATTCCACGTGTCAAACACCAACCCTTTTCAGAAACCCAACTCTCTGGGACACCCAGGGACCCAGACTGGATTGAGAAGAAAACACAGTTGCAGGCTTCCTTCTCTCCCTGGGCTATCTGGGAAGTTGCTAACGGAGTATTGGTGCTGGACAGCTGCTTCCCTCCACTCCACTGCACGGAACCAAGCCCTAGGGATGTGACAGGTGGGCTCCCCGTGGCTTTCTCCTTGGAGAGCAGCAGGGCCTCCAATGTTGTGGGCAGCAGGATCGCCGCTTTGGGGGAGAGAGGGGAAATCCTGCGTGTGTGTGTGTAGAGGATGGAATCACTGGGTTTTCTGTCTTCACAGCTGCCCATGGTGTCTGCTGCGGCTCCCCTTGGGGATGGCGGAGTTGCGAGGGATGCTCTTGCTGCTGCTCTGTGTCTCCCACTCTTCTGCCAGTAAGCGCGCTGTTTCCCTCTGCGCAGCATTAGCTGACCGGGTAGCACAGCGGTGGGGGGGGGGGTGTCAGCCAGAAAAGTGAAGTGGTCCCTGATGCCCAGAGAGGGACCCAAGAGGGGATGACTTGAGGCCCTCTGCCCTGGGCAGAATGGTTCAAATCCGTGAACCGCTGGGCGTACACATAGGAAACTGGCTTTGGAAGCCCAAGGTCAGGGCTAATCCCTAGGGCAGGAGTGTGGTTAGGGAAACAATCCAGAGGTGATGGAAAGGCCAGCTGGACAGAGGGGACAGCTCAAGGACAGACTCCCTCTGTCCCCAATCCCCACCTGCCCTTCCTGCGGTATGTGGCTCTTTGGCTAAGCACAAGCCTCCACCACAGAGCTGGTCCCTGGAGCAGCAGGGGCCTTGACTGCTGAGGGCGACTTGCAGGCTGCCAGAGCCTCAGAGGGCAGAATGGGCAGCGTCTCCCCTGAACTCTAAGTGGTTCAGAATGGTGAATTGCAGCCTAATAGCGGCCAGTGGGCTCTGCCCCGCCGCACTGTCATCCCTGCTGAATCTGGTGTCAGACGGGAGACATGGGACAACCCCCAACCCCCTGTAAAGGCCCTGCACGTTCCTCAGCCTCCTCCTCCTCCTCTGCTTCCTTGCAGCCCCAAAGAGGCCAGGGAACTACCAGAAAACACAGAAAGGGCCTCCACCCCTGCTCACCACCACTCCAGTTAGAAAGCTAGAATTAAGTGATCCTGGGCAAACAGTTTTTTTTCTGGGTCGTATTTCCCCATTAAATGCCGACCTTCCGCGGGTTTTCTAAGGTCAACCGAGCTAGCCAGCTAGAACTTTGCAAAAGTGAAGGTGATTGTCACACATGGGTGGGTTCTTGTTGGGTTAGGAAAAGATGGGTTAATGTCTTGTACCACAGATGGCCAAAGTCCCAAGAGAAAATCAGACCAGAGACAAGGAGTCTTGTCTCTGGTGGTTTGGAAGCACTTTAGTGACCTTACAAACATCGTGTTGATAACCACGTCTGTCATTGTTCCAGCAAAGTCTCCAGATGTCCATTAATGGAGATGTTGGGTCACACGATGCCCCACACTGTGGTCCTTTAATGATGGTTCTGTATGTTACAATCAGTGCTAGAGCCATGCTTTGGAAACTCACTGTTTTTGGTGCTCACCTTAAAGCCTCCCCAGACTTCATGCCTGGGGCAGAACCCACGCCTCTTCCTGTGAATACTCTGGGTGAGGCTCTCTTGTGCCCCATGCCTCCCTGTACGGCCATCACTCTGCAGCACGCCACTGAGACAGGCTCCTGAAATCCATCCCTGTAAGCCCAATCTCTGGCTGCACGGTGTGCTGAAAAAACAGTCACTCATCACCCGACACAAACAGTCTGCAGGTGGAACCCATCGTGTGACATCCATGGTTCATGGACACCGATTTGGAAGTGAGCAATGGGTACTCGTGGTTTGGGATGTGCAAACAGCCACCAGAGCGGTGACTTACATCCTTAGGAATGGAACTGTTAGTTCTGCCATTGGTTTAGCATTATTGGTTGTGGGGATACAGTAAGCAAAGTGCTTTCCCCAAACCTCAGCTCATGTCATCTCTGCACCCCAAGGGGAGTGTAGGTCCAGGACTACTACTCCACAATTCAAAAGAAGAAACTGAAGCCCTGGGAAGGAAAGTGGCTCAGGCCATACTAGGGGTCGACTTGACCTTGGATTCTGCACCCAGGCCCTCCCTGAATACACATTCAAATTGACCAGAAAATGCAACATGCAGTCAGGGCTGAGTCCCTGCTTAGGCGGGCAGAAGAGAGCCGCCCTGGGTCCTATAGGGAGGTCAGGGACAGAGCAGGGCATACGGACAGGGAAGGAGGACACGGGTCAGTGGAGCGAGGCAGCAGCTGGACGAGCAAAGTGGTGCACGTGGATGCCATCCTGTAATGGTGCCTGGAAAGGAGGAGGCTCCTCTTGGCCAGCCCAGGGCTCTGAAGCAGTCCCTTTAGGACCAGAAAAGTTTCCTGTTCTAAACTCCTAAACCTTGTAGAACATTTTTTTGTTTTGTTTTAATACAGGGCAGTATAGGCCTACTGGACCAACCTGGGGCTGGCAGGAGGCGCAAGCAGACCACTTAAAACAATCACCAACATTTAACTGTCATTGGAAACAAACTGTCCAGTTGGAGGTGGCCCTCTGAGGGCTCAGGAAGGCCAAAGCCAAGCAGGCCTGGGTGTGGCCAGAAATAGCCCCACCAGCCAGGACCTTTCAGCACCTTGACCACAGGGAGAGAGGGAGTGCTGGGTTGGTAGAGTCCCTCTGCCCATGCCCCAGGTCATTTACTGGGCAGTGATAGGTGCCAGGCACCATGCTAGCTCTTAGGGACACACTGGCAAGCCAGACAGACGTGGGGAGGAGAGCCAGGTGTGCCAACGGCCTGTGAGCAACAGTAGGGGCCAACTAAAGGCTATGAAATGTGGCTGGGATGTGGATGGTGAGGGGCTGAAAGAATAGAGTTTGGATCCATCTGCCGGCCCTATAGCCTACCAGCCATGTCACTTGGCCAAGTGCTCACTCGCTCTCACCTACAAACTGAGAATGGTGGTGCCCAGCACCCACCTGCAGTGTTGCTGGGGGAACTGTCTGAAGTAGTGGACATGAGGGCAGTTCCCCAGGGTTTCAGGACCTTTTCATACTTGTAAAAATTATTAGGAATTCTAGCCTGCGCCGCGGCTCACTAGGCTAATCCTCCACCTAGAGGCGCCGGCACACCGGGTTCTAGTCCCGGTCAGGGCGCCGCATTCTGTCCCGGTTGCCCCTCTTCCAGGCCAGCTCTCTGCTGTGGCCCAAGAGTGCAGTGGAGGATGGCCCAAGTACTTGGGCCCTGTACCCCATGGGAGACCAGGATAAGTACCTGGCTCCTGCCATTGGATCAGCGCGGTGCACCGGCCGCAGCGTGCCAGCCGTGGCGGCCATTGGAGGGTGAACCAAAGGCAAAAGGAAGACCTTTCTCTCTGTCTCTCTCTCTCACTGTCCACTCTGCCTGTCAAAAAAAAAAATTATTAGGAATTCTAAAAGGGTTCTTGGCTTATGGGGCTATATCTTTCTGTGTTTAGCCGTACTAGAAATTAAAACTTGGAAAAATGTAGGTTCACACATTCAGGAGCTCTCAGGGTCATGACATCACTTAGTCTCTGGGACACCCATGCCAGGACAAGAAGGCAAAGAGCAAGTAAAGGCTTAGTGTTCCTACGGGAACAGCGGCTACCTTACAGAGGCCTCGCGGAGGCCCCGGACGACGCTGTGAGAGCTGCCATGTATACAGAAGGGGTCAGTTTCTGCCTGCGGTGTGCTGCTAAGTGCTCAATGGCTAAGCTTTCATTTCAATAGTGTAACATGGTTCTCAGGTCCAGGTTCAAAGGTCAACAGTCTAATGTGGTTGTCAGGTTCAAAGACGCCACCATCCATCTTTCAGGTGACGACCGTGCAGAATAGTAAGAACCCTCCCCGCCCCAGGTCGAGTTATGACAAGCAAGCTGGGGGTCCTGAGGGCTAGTGGGGTGCTGGTGCTCACAGGCAACCACCGGAAGTGAGGCTCTGCACCCACTTCAGCAGACTGTGGCATCCAGAGATCCTCCAGTGTGGACGAGTCCGAGGAGAACGTGGTCAGCAGCACGGAGTTCCCGTGGGTGGTGTCGGTGCAGGACTCGCAGTACGTCCACCTGGCTTTCGGCTGCATCCTCAGCGAGTTCTGGATCCTCAGCATCGCATCCGCCTTTCAGAACAGGCCAGTGCCCGCAGGCAGGGCTGGGGTCCACCCTGTTGCCTGCTTGGGCTGAGAGGAGGGACAGAGAGGGAGAGAGGGAAGGAGGAAGGGAAGGAGGGAGGGGGGAGGGAGGAGAGGAGGAAGGGGGGAAGGAGGAGGGGGAGGGAGGGAGGGAGAGAGAGAGAGAGAGAGAGAGAGAGAGAGAATCTTCCATCTATTGGTTCAGTCCCCAAATGCCCGCAACAGCCGGGTCTGGGCCAGGCCAAAGCCAGGAGCCAGAAACTCCACTGTCTCCCACATACGGGTGACAAGGGCCCAGGCATTTGGGGCATCTTCCTTTGCCTTCAAAGGCCCATCAGCAGGGAGCTGTATTGGAAGTAGAGCAGCCAGGACTTGAACAAGCACTCACATGGGATGCTGGCTTCGCAGGTGGCACCACAATGCCAGCTCTTCACATTTGTCTTTCTCACAGCTCCAATGCAGTCTAGTTTTTTTTCCCTAGGCTGTGCCTCAAAACTCCTCCAGCCTCTACTCGTTATCCAGTTCCAAAGCCACTTCCACCGTCTTTTGGCATCTGATACAATAGCAACCCACTTTTCAGAGCCAAAATCTGTGTCAGTCTGCTAAGGGTGACAATAGAAATTATTTCTCCTAATTCTGAAGGGCAGAAGTCCAATCCATGGGCAGGGCTGGTGTCCCTGAGAATTCTTTCTTGGGCTTGCAGATGGCTGCCTTCTTGCTGTGTCCTCTCACGGCCTGGTCTCTCTGTGTGCTCATCCCTTGACCTCTTCCTCTTCTTATAAGGACAACAGCCCTGTTGTATCTTCATTCTGCTTTCCACTGTAGAGTTATACTTCAAGTAAACACCAAAATCCTCTGCTTCTTTCTGGAAAATTCTCTCTAGACTCTCTACTGTGGCCCACGGAAGAATTCCTACCTGTTCCCTTCTTTTCTTCTTTTAATTAAATATTTTGGCATTCACCTGAATTCATTTACATATTTGTACATCCCTATGACATCACATTAGCTGTAACCATGTTTCAACTCCTACAAAAGATGAGAAAATTGGTCTACACATCTGTCTCTTTCTTTCCAACTTCAGTTATATTATGCAGTTGTTGCCAGGGTTTACATTTTTACTCTATAACTTAAAAGCTGTCTTTTGTTTTTAGTCCACTATTATAATGAATTTTACACTTTCTGACAGTTCTGTTTGGATTTTCTCCATTCAACACTAGGTTTAGCTAAAATTTGTCTTCAAGTAATTTCTTTTTTTAGGATTTATTTTATTTATTTGATAGACAGTTACAGAGAGAGGCAGAGCCAGAGAGAGTGAGCGAGGTCTTCCATTCGCTGGTTCACTCCCCAAATGACCAATGGCGAAAGCTGGGCTGATCCGAAGCCAGGAGCCAGGAGCTTCTTTCGGGTCTCCCATATGGGTTCGGGGGCCCAAGAACTTGGGCCATCCTCCACTGCTTTCCCAGGCCATAGCAGAGACCTGGATCGGAAGTGGAGCATCCAGGACTCAAACCAATGACCATATGGGATGCCAGCACTGTAGGCTGCAGCTTTAACCCTCTGCACCACTGTGCTGCCCCTCAACTAGTTTCTTAAAAGGCTCCCAAGAACTGTTATTCCCTTGGCCTTTGCATATTCAGAAATGTTGTACTGCCCTTAAGCCTGAATGGCCTGACTTGGGTACAGAATTCATGGCCTACAACTTGGCTCTTTTTGAGGACTTTATTATCACCCCACCTCGCCAGCACCCTGGCTTCTGGTATCAGACCTTGCTGTGGGGAAGTCTGAGGCCACCCTGGTTTCTTCTCTGTAAGAAGGGTGATCTTGCATCCTATATGCCTGGGTGAAGCCTGGTTTACACCTGTTATCCCAGCATCCTGCTGTTAGCACCTTCTTTCATTTTCACAAGTTCCCAGGGTTAGACAATAAACTATATGGCTAATTTAAGATGACTTCATCTTCATTAGTCTAGATGCTCAAGGAGTCCTTCTTAATCATTCAAGTCTAGCAACCCTACTGGCAATGCCAGGTCTTTCCCATTTGCCCCTTCAGATCCACTTTCTACTCTTTTCCATCCTGCCTTAGCAGGATGGAAACCCTAACCCTAACCCTAACCCTGGGACCTTATCCCAGGAAACTGAACAGTGGGGGTCCCACTAATGGTCTCTCTTGCCTTTTGGGTTCTAGTTGGGTTTGAACAAGGAGATTGCAGACAAGAGTGGAGTGAGGAGAGTATGGTCCAGGTCCTTATTCCCTTGAGGGGTTCAAGCAGACTGGCTGCCTCCTCCACTAAGGGACCACTCCCTGTCATGCAGAGCCTCCAGGCGGCACCAGCCCCGTGTTGTGATCCCAGCCCATGCCGTAGTACCCAGAAGACTGCACCGTTCCTGTGCTTTCTCCACATCCTCCCCACATCTCTGTGACAAGTCCCTTTACTAAACTCTCTGCTCTGCACCTCATTGGAGTGTGCCAGGATACATCTCCACGCTCATTATTCTGCACCATCCTCCCCCCACCCTGCTTGGGACAGAATACTCTTCCAACTCTACATTCAAGTCTTATTTCTGGAAAACTTTCTTTCCTTCAAAGAGTTATCCATGTATGTGAAAGAGTTACAGAGGGCCACATACACAGAGATATCTTCCTGGTTCACTCCCCAGATGGCTCCAACAGCCAGGGCTGGGCCAGGCCGAATGCAAGAGCCAGGAACTCCATCCAGATCTCTCACATGGGTGGCAGGGGTCCAAACACTTGGGCTATCTCCCATTGCTTTTCCCAAGCAATTAACAGGGAGCTGGATCAGAAATGGAATACTCTAGACATCAACTAGCATCTATGTGGGATGCTGACATCACAGGTGGTGACTTAACCCATGGCACCACAAGACTGGGCCCTAGAAAAATTTTTTAAGTTATGTCTTCAACATTTTCTCTTCCATTGTTTTGGTTACCTTCATTGTGCTATGTTGGCTCTGCCTGAACTGCCGTATGTGTCATTTTCCTCTCTAGCCTTCAAAAGTTCTTCATTTCATTTCACCTTGGTTGCTTTTCTCAGCCTACCTACTTTGCCCCTCATCACATTTTCTGGGGTTCCTCTTCTCCTTTATGCGGTTTCCAATCTGGCCTTCATTTCGGCGGCAGTTTTCTTCCCATGTCTTTGCTGAGAACCTTCTGAACCCGGTATTTCTGAGCTGTCATCAGTAACTCACTGCACCCCCGCCATCCTTCACGGCTGCCAGCAGCCCTTCCTCTGACTCTAAGGTTTGGACTGTCCGGTGTCTCTTGGTTTCATGGTGTTTGCATTTATTTCTCATTCTTGTGGTCCTTGGGTGAATCCTGAGAGAAGAAAGGGCAACGTCCAGCTTAACTCCACTGCTGTTAAAACTGGAACTTCTTCCAAAGTGTATTTACAGAGCATGTAATGTAGCAAGATGCTTGTATTAAAATGCTAAGTGTTAAAGCATGAGTGCGAATTACCACCTTGGTATAACTACACCCACATTTAAACACAAACAAATAAAAAAGAAAACCTGTCTATGCACAGAAAAAAGTTAATCAGTGATACCATGCTAACAGATGAATTACCTGTGGGTGGTGAGATACATGCAGTTAAACTGGGCTCACAAGGGAGAGCACAAGCCTAGGGATTGAGAACAATTTCCTGGAGACTAAGTACAAAAGGAGGGTAATTGAATGAGCACGAAAAAACAAAAACCATGAAGCTCCCTTGGTTCCTTGACTTCTCGAGATTCTCTTGCTGTCTCTCCAGGAAGGACGCTATCATTGTGGTTGGCATAGCTAACATGGATCCCAGGAAGACTGCTCGCACAGAGTATCCGGTCAATACAATCATCATCCACGAGGACTTCGATAACCACTCAATGAACAACAACATAGCCCTGCTGAAGACAGACTCAGCAATATATTTCAACGAACTGGTCCAGTCCATCTGCTTCCTCGGCAGAAGGCTGCACATGCCACCAGCCTTGCGGAACTGCTGGGTGTCGGGATGGAACCCCACGTCTGCAGTTAATGCATTCCTTCTCCTAGAGCAGGCTGTGTGTGTGCTAGCAGTGACGGGGGTGGGAGAGACTTGGATGAACTGCTCTGGGGTTAGCTTAATAACTCAGGTTACTTGAGGTTCTAGAGTTGGGCTGGAACCTTTACCTAACCAATCAGTCGAAATTCCCAGCACTTGCCCTTTCTGTGACCATTCTTACATCATTCAAGGTCAAAGCAAAGTAGTTTGCATAAAGATTAGACACAGAAAAGGGAGTCAGAAGAACACCTTCTGCTCCCATTTGGAATGTGAATGGCAGGTATGTCGCTTAGGGACGACCTTCTTGTTCATTCTTGGGCTCTCTGTTGCATGGTCCAGACAGGAAATCAAATGACGATGAGCATCCTGAGGAAAATCTCCGTGACAGACATCAACCTGTGTTCCTCACACAAACTCAAGAAAACGGGATGTGGCCACCACCTAGAGCAGGAAACTGAGGCTGTCTGCTTGGTAAGAACATGACGGAGCAGAAACCAAATGCTGAGAGGACGTATTGGTCACATCAAGGGGGAGCCTCAGGACTGCCTCTTGCTGGAGGGGAGGGGCTATGACTTGGATTCCTGACTGTCTCTGGGGTGCGCAGCCCTTGGCAGATAGCAAGTGCTCAGTGAAAGCCTGCCGAGTGGACTAACCAGACACCACACTCGGTGGGACCTGAGTCAGCCCTGGGAGTCCCAGGCAGATATACCGCACGCAGCCCTCACAGCGGGGGCCATTCGTGTTCACCTTCTCGGGAGCCTCACTCCCCTCCGATGATATTGCTTATCAGATAACGGGTTTTCCTTCCGTAAGCCCTGCCCTGCGCCCACCCACACGAGGCCCTCCTACTGTCTCAGGAAACTCTGCAGACTTCACAAACACCTGGTTCAGGCCCCCCGCTGTGTCCAAACCCAGGAAAAGTGTGGCTCGCCAGGATCACCTAGTTACCAAGTGCTGGTGTAAAGACGGGAGCCTGGGTCTAGCAGATCTCCAGGCAGAGTTTCTCTCCTCTACTCTAAAATTGTCTTTGTAAGACGCTGATCCCCACTCTCTTCTAAATCAGGACTCTGGTCAGGAAATCTTTTTTTCCCAGAGGATCTATAAAGGTATTTTTAGAGTAAGGGAAAGAAATGCATATATACAGATAATTCTTTCTAAATTTCATTTCATTGTGAAAGCATGGGCCACCTCTCATTAAGCAGTGTGTCCTTGCAGAGTTGGTTCAACATTTATTGAGTGCCTACTTTGTACGAGTCTGTCTGCCAAGTGGAGGACCTCAGTGACTTTTTAACTAGATGGTATGTTAAAATACAGTAGAAGACCTAGCTAATTAATAAAATCCTGTCATTAACCAATTCATCAGTCCAGCACTATATTTCATTAGATTCAAGATGCCACCAATGGTAGAAAACACCACTGTTTTATATAATAACAAGAAAGAAAAAGATGCTGTCCGTTAAACACCAACATCACCTGATTCTAGGTGCAAAGTTGTTAACTCAATGGAACATGGTAAACTGTGCTCTAAGCGACTGCCATTTTACCTGCAAAGTTCAGATGGGTTTTTCACTGTGGCACACTTATAAACGGTCGTTTGTGTTTGAATAGAATCGTCCTTGCAAACTGTCTGGTAGTGACTTGTCAACCTAGAATCCTTCCTGTCTTAGTGTCCTGCGTTCTAGTGTCCAGAGGGCCACCAAGTCACACTGCTCATATGTAGAATAAACCATCAGGTTCAGTATCACCTAATGCAGTTCCCCCAGAAATCTAACAAAAGCAGAGTCACTCTGAATGCATCTCCCACTCCAAAACAAACCAGCCAATGCATGAACATTAGGCCTTTTGCTGAATGTCAAGGAAAGGGTTAGCAAATGGAGGTGGCCCTTGGAGCCTGGCTCCCCTGGGAGATGAGGTAGGGCTGCTCCAGAGGGGCACTTGGTATTTTTTTGTCTCAGCTCCTTTTGCTCCAGAAGTCAGAGCCCTGCAAGAGGATGGGGAAGAGAAAAAGCAGCATATTCTGCCCCCGGTAGAACAGCACCCTACAAAATCATGGCCTATGGCTGGGGACTTGGATCAAACTATTATTCATCAAACCACCCTCAGTTGAGTTCTATTCTTCCTCAAGTTAAAAAACCATAGTTAAGACAAACTGGAAATGAGACTGAAGGAAGGAGGGGAGACCACACCAGTCTTGGCCAGGGGGCCTCCACGTACCGGGTGGACTTCACAGGGTATAGACAAGGGATTGTTCTCCACACCCTTCCCGAGTCCCAGAGGACTGCTCCCTTGGGAACAGGGAAGGCTTCAGCATGGAGAGGGCTGGTAAGCAGGTGCAGTGATGGGCAACTGCCTTGTGGAAAAGCTGGGAAACTTGCTAGTTCCCTGGGAAGTTGGGACTGCAGGTGGGAGAGAGGAGCATAAACCAAGGATGGGAACGGGAATGAAAAGAGAAGGGAAAGTGTGAGCATTCCAGACAAGAAAGGAAGAAATACCAACCTGAGAGGGAGGAGAAGCCAAGAGAGGAGGATTTAGTCAAAGTCCTGGAAAGGGACAAGAAAATATGAACCAGGAAGTTCCAGGCCATCTGCAGAAGCCCACAGATAATTTGCATAATAAAAGGAAAAGTCATCTTGTTGGAATGTATCCTGGTAGCTTCCTAGATTTGAAATGATATCCTCTAGTTTGCCCCATTTCCAGGGAGAACTAATATAAAACATTTCTAGAACAAAGAGTAAATTGCCCAAGGATGTATTGAAAAAGAAAACACATTTTCCTGAGACCTGAAGCCTTTTGTCCTTTGTCACAGGGAGAACCAGGAAACCCGATTATGTGCCAGCTACAGCAGTCGGATCTGTGGGTCCTGAGGGGAGTCCTGACCGAAGGTGGCGAGCCGTGCCCTGGCCTGTTTCTATACACCAAGGTGGAAGACTACAGCGACTGGATCATGTCCAAGACGAGGAGGGCCAGTCCTCCCCTGTCTTCACTCCACCACTGGGAGGAGCTGATGTCTTTCCCCAAGGACGAGTCGCAGCGTCACGGTGTCGTGACACAGAGTGTGCGCATTCAGCTGGACTATGTCCCATGGTCCCAAAGAAAGACCACCATGCATCCATGGCCAGCAAACAGCTCTAGAGACAGTCTAGACTTCAGGGGAAAGAGCCTGGGGGAGTCGCGCAGCTCCTCTGAGCAGGCCATACAACCTGCGTACTATGACTATTACGGAGGGGAGGCTGGGCAGGGTGGGTCTATCGCAGGCCAGAACAGGTTGCATCAGCCCCAAGAAATTTTCTCTGTTTTCTTTGTGCTCGCTTTCTTTTGTAGCGGTGTCTAGTCTAGGTGCTAACTCACCACGCAGAAGAGTAAGCTCAGAATGTTGAGTGCCAGGCATTCACCATGCTGTTTGGGTGTCTGTTTTTGATAGTTGCACACCTGGGTGCCACAGATAGGCCCACAGCACACACGGGGCCGGCTCTCCCTCCTCTGTCCCACTCCCACCTGCGGGAAGGTCACTTTCAAAATTTGTGCTTGTGAACTAAATGTGGGCTTACAAGTGCCAAACTATTAGAGTGCCCTGTGGTTCTTTCAGTGTTAATGGTTCCAGGGGCCAGGCTGTGAAAACACTCCCTGTGGTCAGATGTGGCCCGGGACATGATGGTCAGCCTGGCTGGGGAGTCGGGGACACCAGCCAGCACAGGGAGCAGTGAGAAGACCCCGTGACTAGAAAAGAGCTGGTTGCTTTAATGGATCACTTCTTGGTCTGCCAGCCAGGACCTGCCTCTGGCTGCTTCCCAGAGGCCAAATTGCCTGCAATTACTCATTGGTTGTTTTCATTTTATTCCAAGATTTGCGGTAGCCTTTTAAGGACATCTGCAAAGAGGAAAAAGGGGGAGAGGGGAAAAGGTCACTTGGGAAAAACTGAATGTGGCTATTCAGAATGCAACCCTCCTCCAGCCCTGCTGATGGTCACAGACAACCCTGTGGGGACAGCGCCACCAAGGGGCAGGGCCCACTGGCAGCTTCCTGCTGCGACCCCCTGCTGCTTCTCAGCTCCAGACCTGATGGCCCAAGTGTGGATTGTCACTTACTCCAGGCCACCAAGTGGTCCCAGGAAAGGCGGGAGAAACTAGCATGGGAAATGCAGCCTGGGTCCAGAGGAGAAAGCATCGAGCTCCGGGTTTCCCAAGTGTCCTGCCTGGCTTTTCAAGGCACTCTCACCACGTCTGTCTAAGTGACCCCGGTTTGCAGCCACCATGGCAGCTGCAGTCCTCAGCATCCCAGTTCCGTGTCAACCACATTCCTCCAGCAGCTCACAAGGAGCAAGGATGCTTCCCATGAACACTGTACCATATCCAGAGGCATGGCAACTGTGTAAGAGCTTGGAATTGGGTTCTGAGTGATATTAAAAATCCGCTATCATTTTTTAAAAAATTGGTTTCTCCATGTATAAAACAGCAATCACTGAATTATCCATGGCGTGGAGGGGTTCATTAAGGAAACAAGCAGCTATAAAACACTATTCCCACAGGCTCCCTCCCTGACCCCTGAAAAGACCCCGTCCCTAACAATGAAAAGGGAGCTTTTCAAAAGCAATCGTTTGGGGTTAACACCCGAGGCAGTGGCTGAGGTCTGTTCACAGGTGCTGCCCGTGCAAATATCTGCATTCCTGAGCAAAAGTGTCGAGGGTATAAAGGCCCAATCCTCCATCCCATCGCCAGTGCCGTCAGCGAGACTGAACACCACCTGGGGCTCCCGGGACCCACCTCTGCGATCTCCACTTTCCTCTCCCACATCTTGATGCTCTTCTCCAGGTCCCCATTGAGGATCTTCTCCCGGACGTACACCATCACCCGGGGCGCTCGGAACTCCGCCAGCTGCCTCCGCAACTTCTTGTTCGCAGCCTCAGCTTTGGCCCGGTCCTGGGTGGAGAAAGATAGGTTATGCACAGGGAATCCTGGCGGCACCTGCCTTGTGGACTCCCCGGCTCTGACACCTCTCCTCAGAGTTTCAATGCAGTTCAAAAATAGTAGCTACATTTTCAAAGGGGTGGGGAATCAGAAGATTCCAATTTTTTATAGATCCTGATGTCTGAATCCAGTTCACAAACACCAGTCTAAACCAGTCCTTTCTTTTCCCACCCCTTGATAAAGGAACATTTTTCCTTATTTGGACTTCTTAAATTTTTTCTGTATGTGAAAATGGTATATTTAAGCTTTGATCAGTTTCAATTCACTTTTCTGTCTTCTTTTATTGTAAAATACAATTATAAGGAATGCTGCCATAAATATGGATGTTCAGAGTCCCTGGTTTTTGCTTTGTTTTGTTTTAGATTTATTTATTTATTTGAAAGGCAGAGTTACAGAGAGGCAGAGGCAGAAAGAGAGATTTCCATACACTGGTTTACTCCTCAAATGGCCACAATGGCTGAAGCTGGACTGCTCTGAAGCCAGGAGCCAGGAGTTTCTTCCTGGTCTCCCACATGGATACAGGAGTCCAAGGACCTGGACCATCTTTCGTTGCTTTCCCAGAAGTGGAACAGTTGGGTCTCGAACCAGTGCTCTTAATGGGATGCTGGCACTTCAGGCAGTGGCTTTACCTGCTACTCCACAGTTCTGTTCCCCCACCCCTTGTTTTAAATTCTTTTGGGTTTATACCTCAGAGTAGAATTGCTGGAACCTACAGGAATTTAATTTTTGAGGAAGCCCTATCTTAAATTTTTTTAAATTTACAGTACAATTAACCAGAACACTTCTTCTAATTGAGTGGACTTTTCTGAATTAACACAGTCTTAAATTTTACTTTACCAATTGTTTTGTGCAACCAACACATTCACTTCAAGTGGTCTAACAGTACACAGCGACAAGCTCGCATCACTTTGTTCCCCCATCATGAAGATCTCTTTCCCAGAAATGGAAACAACACCTCTTTTTAGGTATTATGCATTTGTCTAGAGATCTATGACTTTATAAATATTAAACATGCTTCCTTTTTTGACACAGACAATAGCATCTTCTATTCACTTTTACTTACCTGGCTTTTTTTTCACTCAATAAATCCTGAGGACCCTTTAATCAGCACATAAAGGATTTCATCATTCTTTTTGACAGCTGCCTATTTTTCCATATGGATGTACGGTAATTCAGTGAGTCTCCCATAAACAGTCACTTAGCTTTCAGTACTCTGCTATCATAACAAACAGTGGCATGAATACTAATCTTCTGGGTATATATCATATGGTAAATATGCAAGTATAAGTTTACAATTAGTGAACTAAATGTAGTTTATCCTAAATTTCACTAATTGTGAAATTGCTTGTTCTAAGGCTGTGGTTCTCACCTGGAGGCAATTTTGCCCCCCAGAACATTTGGCAACATCTGGACACATTTTTGTCACAGCTCGGGGAGGTGTGCTACTGGCACCTAACAGGTTGGCTAAGGTATTTTGGTCAAGAATGTTACTGAACATGCTACACTACACAGGACAACCTCCACAAGAAAGGATTATCCAGTCTAAAATATCAGAAGCACCAATCAATGGTGGGGAACCCTACCCTAAGCACGTATGCATCTTTTTTTTAAAGATTTATTTATTTGTTTGAAAGTCAAGAGTTACACAGAGAGAGGAAAGGCGGAGGTGGTGGTGGTTTCCATCCAATGGTTCACTCCCCAGATGGCCATAATGGCCGGAGTTGCACCGATCCAAAGCCAGGAGCCAGGAGCTTCTTCTGGGTCTCCCACTTGGGTGCAGAGGCCCAAGGACTTGGGCCATCTTCTACTGCTTTCCCAGGCCATAGCAGAGAGTCGGATTGGAAGCGGAGCAGCCAGGTTATGAACAGGCGCCCATATGGGATGCCGGTGCTTCAGGCCAGGGCATTAACCCCACTGTCCCTTCTATAGTTAGCTTTTTGTTGGCAGGAGAAAGTACCTGAAACTTACTCTTTTCACATTTTTTTCAGTATGTAAAATTATTAGCCATATTATAATTCCTTATATATTTAGACTTAATCATCCTACCTTACTGTAGAGTTGTACCCTTTAATCCACATCCCACCTTTCCTTGTTTTCTCTCCCTCCGTGACCTTGGTAATCCCCATTCTACCAACCTGGGGCAAGCATCTGGCAGAGCAGTTAAGACTTCACTTAGGGAGGCCAGTGCTGCGGCAAAGCAGGGTAAAAGCCCTGGTCTGCAGTGCTGGTGTTCGGTATGGGCGAGGTTTCGGGTACCAGGGGCTCCACTTCCAATCCAGCTCTCTGCTATAACCTGGGAAGCCAGTGGAGGATGGCCCAAGTCCTTGCACCCCTGCACCCACGTGGGAGACCTGGAGGAAGCTCCTGGCTCCTGGCTTCAGATTGGCACAGCTCTGGCCATTGCAGTCATCTGGGGAGTGAATCAGCAGATAGAAGACCTCTCTCTGTGTCTGCTTCTGCTTCTCTGTAACTCTGCCTTTCAAATAAATAAATAAATCTTTAAACAAAAACATACAAAAAAAAAAACCCACTTCACTTGGGCCTGCACCCCATGTAAGAGTGCTTCTCTGAGTCCTGCCTCTGCTTCTTTCCAGCTCCTGGCTAATCTGCACCCTGGAAGGCAGAGTGATGACTCAAGTACTGAGGCCACTGCTCCCCATGTGGGAGACCCAGGCTGAGTTCTTAGCTCCTGGCTTTGGCCTAGCCAAGCTCTGGCTATTGTGGGCATTTGGGGAGTGAACCAGAGGAGAAGAGATCGCTCTCTCTCTCTCTGTTCATCTGTTTTTTTCTTCCTTTGCCTCTCAATTTTTTTTTTTTTAAATCTAAACAAGATAAAACTCCATAGTGTTCTGTCGCTCCCCCTCTTCGTGGAGGAACGACACAGGACCCTGCGCTGTTCTTTCGTCTGCTCGGCCCTCCCCGGGTTTGCTGCTGGTTCTTCCCGGGTTGGCTACTATCCCTTCCACCTCCGTGGAAGGGCAGTTCCCCCTGGCCACATTCCCCACTTCCGCAGGGGAGCGGCACACCGCCGGCCGGCTCTCTCGGGGGCTGCACAGGTGTTCCTTCAGATAGATGTTCCCCTTAGATGTTCCTCGGTGCATGCCGTCTCTCTCCTCCTTTATAGTCCTCCTCTGCCAATCCCAACTCGGCTGCCCACACGCCGAGTACGCTGCTCTCCTCCAATCAGGAGCAAGTCCTACAGTTTATTGGTTGAACTGGAGGCAGCTGTGCAGAAGCTGTTTACTTCTCTCCCAGCGCCATATTGTGGGAGAGCAGATGCATAGAATAAGTCTTAATTCCAGTAACTCAGTCTAGTCCGGGTTGCTCCCCACAGTGTTCTAATTGGAATACCATCATTTCACAGATTAATTGAAGGAGAAGCAACATTTTTAAGATGTTGAATTATCCTAACATAGCTTTGCCTTTTGATTCCTTTGCTTCACAAAGTACAGTCTGGGAGAGAGATGGGACTTAGACTCCCAGCCCAGCCCAGACCGACCCAGAGTCTGCACTTTAACAAGGTGCCCAGGTAGTTGGTTTTCAGCTTCCAGTTTGAGAAGCACTGTTTTAGTTTACCAAGATGCAATCCAACAGAAT